ACAATTATACTAAGCCCCCTAAAACAATATACTATGCTTGTTATAAATAAAAAATGTCATCGCTAAACGCTATAGCTATTAATTAGCTATTATGTTCGCCATTTCCTGTTACGGGCCTGGCGCAAAAAATTTCACGCCTTTGATTTAGTTTAGCTAAACTCTGCTAAAGCTATATCAGACTACAAAAATTAAGACTGAAGTGATGATATCTGGTATATATTTTCAAAGTTTCTGTGATCACAGTAGCAATTGTGCAAATCTATGCAAAATTCCTACTATATGATCACAGAAACTTTGTCTTTGATAGTATGACTGGGCAGGAAGTGACGAACAGCAGTAAAAAAATATGGTCTATGGTCTATGCACTATCAATTAATACGTTCCCATTCATTCTCAAAGTCAATTATATGGTCCTTATGGCTTATCATGCATGGGCATGTTTAGCGATGTTCGAGCCTTTTTTACAGTTTTTCACATTCGAATATGCTTCGACTTTCGGCGGGTTCAAATGATCGTCCTGTTTAACCAACACGTGCAGTCAGGGGTCATTTTGAGTTTCTCTAGCTAAACATTAAGTTCTGCCTAAACGCTTGCCTTGAACGCTCGTAGTAATACGTTGGTGAAATATGCGCTAAAGTGCATGGGATAAGGCCATATTGGCATATAGTCTAGAATTGACCTTGAGAATGAAAAAGTAATTGGTAGTGCAAGCTAGTTTACTATCGCACGCGTAAAACAGTAGAATCTTGGCATACTGCTATTAAAAATAACAAATTGTGACAATAATACTAAAACAATATACTATGTCTATGCTTGTTATAAAAAATGTCATTGCTAAACGCTACAGCTAATTACATAAATTAGCCATTACGTTCGCCATTTCCTGTTAGGCATGGCGAAAAAATTCACGCCTTTGATTTACATTAGCTAAAAAGTCATAAGTGCTACGTTCCTGGAATAAAAGTTGTTATTAAATATAAAGAAAATAACAGCATATGCAGTAAAGGCGCTGTTACACGAGGCAATTATTGCTGAAAATTGCTCCATGGGGGCGAATATCCTAGGAATATCGCCCCCCTTTAGGAATTTCGCCCCCCCCCATATAAATTTTGAAGTTTTGATCTAAAAACAAAACGATTGCAAAACAATTGCGTTATATATGTATTTATTATTTAAAGTTACATACAGATTTTAGGCTTTTTAGCAGCTGGTGGTGTGCACATTCGGCAGAACCACTCATTTAAGGTACTTTGACCAATGTTATATCCATCTGAAGTGGAACCATTGCCCATAGAGATCGCATAAAATCATGTTGTCGACGTATGCTTCTGGCAGTTTACAGTCACATTGCGAAGCGTATCGAACCTAAACTTTCTATGTCAGTGACGTAATCTTGATTCTTGCCTTCCGCAAAAAATTGCATGACATACAAGGTGAGTAAAAAAAACTTACACCTATGCGGCGAATTTGAATGAAAGGTGTCAGTTTTTTTTTACTCATCCTGTATATGTGACAAAAACAACCGATGCAAATTTTATCAATAGCAATGTTAACAATGTCAATGGCCGCCACAGTAATCACTTGTTAACAATAAATATAGGATTAATAAAAAATCTATGGAATGTGTTGCGAAGCGTAATAGCGTAATGAGTCCCCAACTTTCCATGTCAGTGATTTAATCTTGACACCTGTACTATCAAATTTTCTTTCATCATTTTGTAGAAATTCTGCATAGTATGAAACGTACCAAATTACTTTGTTGCTATAAAGTTAGATACAATTCTTGGGTAAAATATAATCGGACCAAATACACGTCATACGATGATGGCTGTCCCCCCCCCCAAATTTTGGAGGTAGATCTTCGCCCTTGAGGACAACAACTTGTTTACAAATTGCACTTGATTATGTTTGTGCTGAACTTGTAATGTTTATAATTTTGCTTAATAGAACTTTAAACGGTTCAGTTGAAACTGTAGCAATAAAAGTCTGCGAAATCTTAGTGCTAATTAGAATGCAATCATACAAAATAAATTCAGCCAGACACACAGAGTCGACATGTAGCAGTGCATGGGAACAGGTTCTACGATGATTGTAACATACAGCAATGAAAACAATAATTTTCTAAAGAACGAGTCACCGACACTGTTCACCCGACCTTTGTTCTACGAGAAAAAGAAAATACGTTTGGCTTCGTGTTTGCTTGTGAACACACGACGCACTTTTACACAATCAGTATCTATGCATCTATGTTTTTGCAAAAATGAAAATACAGTATTATGTTTGACTCGTAGCAACAAAAATTTAGAAACATATAATTATGCAACTCGTAACGATTTTCTTTGATATTGTATTTCGCTCATAGTCATATCTATATAATAATTTTAAAACAAAAGTGATTCTTGTTGAGTAAAAAGCAGCCTAACTTGCTATAGTTATATACTAATTCACACTTTGTTGTTCTCCATTTGTAAAGGTTGTATTCAAAAATCTCCAGGAACCAAGCGGCAAAAGTAGTTTGAAATTTGGTATCAAAGATTACAAATACTACGGTGTCGATAAGTTCAGCGACGACTTTAGTGAGTGCAAAACCGGTGCGCTGTTTGAAAAGCAGTGGAAGTCATCCACGTCTCCACCAACACCTGAAATGCTAAAAGTGCAATCTCCAGGGCTTATAACAAGCGCACCTTCCACGTCTTCACTGACTTCACACGGTGAAACGGCTAAAACTAGTAAGCGAGGAAAATTAAGTAAGCGCAAACTAAACTACAACAACGAGACCAAAATGGAAGAATTGGTCAGTCCACAGAAGAAAAAGATTCGTCCACGTACAGAGGACAGTGAGCTCGATTCTCATCGATTGGGTAAATGCCCATTTCTAATTTGAATTTCAAAAATAATATACGAGTTGAATTAGCGTCTGCATAGTTCATAACTCGATCATATGTATGTATTGCTATTTTTTAAAGGCATGTTCAACTTGAGATGGTCAACGTTTAAGGAACCTCCTGAAAAGTGGCTAGATCGACCAATTGACGATGATCACGTAGAAGATTTAGTCGCCGTTCTCCGGGATAATCCATGCGCTATGGTTAACAACCAACTTTGGCTTGGCATTTGCCAGATACCAAGGGACGGGATAAAGGAAGCTGCCGATGTCAAAGGGTGCGAAATCACGATCATTGGTGGGCTGCATAGGAAAAAAGCATATAAAAAAGTAAGAGTAAATCAATTATGATTTTGTGGCACTTCACTCGATGTAGGATAAATTCTAGAGGGTTAATGGGTCTTAATTTCGAGTGGAAATCATAGACATGTCAAATTCAAGCCAGGAACCGTTGAGAAAAATTCATCAACTATTGGTACTCAGGCAGGAATTGAACCTATCCCTAAGGCGTAGGTTCAATTCCTGCCGGAGGAACAATAGTTGATGAATTTTTCTCAACTGTTCCTGGCTTGAATTTGACATGTGTATGATTTCCACTCGAAATTAAGACCCATTAACCCTCTAGAATTTATAAGTAAAAAAAAAGTTCAATTTGTATTTGCAAATTCAAAATTTGTCAATTTGATTATTTGATAACGATTCAGCATATAGCCTCTTGTTGTTGACAAACTTTGAACAACCTATTTCAATCGGAAAGGGGCCGGAATTCCAAATTAGCAAAAGGCATAAATTTTGATATTAAAGTTTCGTATAAATTCTTCAACAGGCGTCCTTATTCAGCAAAGAACACGAAAACAAACTGGCCAAAGTTGGAATTCAACTGTACGACCATAAATTGACAGACGGGCAAATAAAACGATTGGCGGCTTTGCACAACATGACCAACATTGGAAGCAAAAGGACGACTTGGGTAGAAAGGGTACATGCCTGCCGTCGATGGCGATTCCAAATGGAAGGAAAGGACATGGATGTTGACGAAGTTCCCCAATCTTCACTTCAATGGCGTACGGATTGCCAAGAGATGTTCGTGGAACCGATGAAGGTGCGCGGTTGCCAGAAGTCATATTTTTAATATGTATTTCTGTATTTTGATTTATAATAATCTCTATGACTGCGTACCTATTTAATTTTATACAAACTTTGATTTTACGAATAGCTACATTTATGAGCCAGAATACAGTAATTCCGGTGTATTTCTTAATAATACAAGGTTACCAAACCTGACTGACTGACTGGCTGGCTGGCTGAACGAATGAATGAATGAATGAACGAATGAATGAATGAATGAGTGAATGTATCATAACGCAATTCGTTTTGTTTTGTTACAGAATGTGAATGTCTTGGAAAGCACATTGCAAACAGCTTTGTTGCCTCGCACTGTGTTTAACCTCTGGCAAGAAGCGGCCAAGATGTTCGACGAAGGAAAGTTGGCCGGTCAAAACATACAGAAACGATCAAGCGCAAAAAAGCCGGAGCTCACACAAAATCAAGTATGTGCTTTAATAGGTCAATCTACACAACTCGCTTTACGTGCAGAATTTGGTTTAAATCAAAATGTCAGCTACGTTGAATAATTTACGAAGTACGCGACATTGTGCTAAGTGAGTCCTATAATAATTCAGTAAACACCAGTTAACTTATTTATTTAACTATAAAAGACCTGGGGCCGGTAGTATGAAACACTTTTTAATCACTATTTTGTAGTTAAATAGTGATTAACTCTCAAATACGCGCTTCTTATTGGATGAAGTTTCCACTTAACTATAGTTACACTCGATTTCAATTTGCTTTTGAAAACTGACTTCCAATGTTTACTTGTAAATTCGGAAGTTCGTTGCAAAGTTCTGACGTTTGTTATGAAGTTCGTTTCGAAGATTCAATAGCAGGACGATTTGATTTGGCTCATTTAACCACGAAGGCTGCCATTGCATGTCACGTGCAGAAAATACACAACTTCAACATAGTTTGGGTTTTGGTACAAAATATTCGTATTTGAGCATAAACGTAGAACAAAACTATAGACTTTATTAGAAAACCAGTTTAATGAGTTTCTTATGTAAATTTTAAAGCTGTTCTTTTGAATGCTGTCGAGCGATGCTGACACTACTAAGGCATAATTTTTTGCTTAATACAGCTGATTCAGTTAAGGTTGTTCTTCCAAAGCAGACCTTTAGCAGATCACGTGACCAGCGTCCACCAGGGTCTTTCCTCCACAAGAGGGAAGAGCCCGGGAACGAGGTTGCTAAGTCACTTGCCTTTATTCATCATTTATTCAAATTATTTGGCTTCGATCGCCCAATTATAGGGCTTTGTTTATGGAGTTATCGTTCCACGTGTATGTGACTTAGTGTACCTGAGTTTCATTTTCATTTAAGTAATTAAGTCTAATATCTTGATTTTTTTTTCTCTTAAAATACAGCTTGGAATGCCATTGCAGGGTCTTGATGACAACACAAAACAAGTTGTCTTACAGCGGTTAACAACAGGAGAGTGCTCTCTAAAAGAACTACATGCTACGTGTTCGTCAATCAAAAAAAAGAAAAAAATACAAATAGCATTTTGCCAACACGTTGGTGAAACCTCATGGGAGGCAGTCGTTGCCAGATTTCCCAATCACACATCGGAAATGAAACTAGCATCGTTTACCGATGTAAGGTTTTCAAGAGGACCTTTGCCGGAAGTAAGTTTGTCACGTTACCCCTTGGCTCATGAGTATGTAGTATTGTAGTTAGTTATATACCAAGTGTAAAGTTTTAATTTCCTCATTAATTTTTTAACTTTCAGTTTCATTTGCCAAATGATAAAATTACACAAATTACATGTATACGATACAATGCCATGCAATACAAAACATTACAATATAATACGAGACAGTGCAGTACTGTCAGTATAGAAAATGGTACAGTACAATGCAATGCAATAATATCCAATAATATTGTTATCCTGAACGGATGTTTGGAACGTCACAACAGTTGAAACCAAATACTAAAAATGAACCTTCTCGGCGGAGAATCGAATCCTGGTCTCCCGCGTGACAGCGGGGAACTCACCACTATACTATCTCGCGAAACAATAACAACATGAACAACAATCGCGCAAATTACGTTAGTTGAATATTTTATCTTTCTCCAAGGTGTTGGTGAAGTTCTTTAATAGAGCCATTATGTGGGAAAAGGAGCAACAACATCCTTGTGTGGCAATTAGCGGAGAAAGGGAAGACATCCAACTAATTGAAGGAAAAGCGGGTGAAATAGGAATCCTTTCTGCACAAGCAATTAGAAACCTTTCTGAAGCAATGCTAAAAACATTGATTACTAATTTCAAAGGATTTGAATTGTCGATTTTGGAGTTAAGAAAGGTATTAATTTCCTAGTTTTATTTAAGATAACCTGTTCTTAGTAAACGATTTATTATAAAAAACATTCAACATAGGGCCCTATGAAAAAAACAGAGTCAGTTATGTATGCATGTCCGCAGTATTAAGAAATAACGACTCAACAATTTGTATTTGGCATCGTAGTTTCGTACCACTGATGACTGACGCGGCTCTTATCAGATAAATAGGCCTATAGCTACTAACTATATAAAAAACGTTAATGATGTAGCTTTAACATGTACAATGTACAATGTACAGCACTTTAAACTGATATTTTAACTTATTTATATTAGGCGCATATTGTTATTGACAGAAAGCATAAGTATTTTATAAATTTCCTTGACGCGTAAACGGCCCTTAATTTGTCAACTGGAAAATTCCAGCCGTATTTGAAACCACTGAAATGATCACTGTACGAAAATAGTAAATCCAAGCATGCATGAAGTCAACACACAAACCTATACCTGCCGAAAAGGAAAGAAAATGTCCTTTCCGATATAAGTATTAATGTATTTGTCATTTGTAAGCAAATAGTATTATATTGCATTACTATGACAAGCTCTTATTAAAAGTTTTTAAGTATATCATACTAATATTTTGATTGGCTTATTTATCTAATGAGTATATTTATTTAGTAATAAAGATGCCAAATACAAATTGTCGTGTCACTAATTCTAAATTATGCTTGGAAAATCGAGTGTCTCAAGCACAAACATGTCTTGCGTTGAAAATACCACAGTGTGGCACAGTATAGGTATACGTATTTAGCGGATAACTTTGACGTAATTTTAACTTTAAAGTAAAATTTATATAATTGTGGATAAAGTTAAACTTTACCCTCGTCGCTTGTCGATCGTGTAGATGTGAAACTATTTGCAAATTGTACAATCTTGTAGAAATGTGACATTGATGAATTAGAAACGGCCTTCATGAAGATTCACTCATTAAATGTGGAAACAATGGCATACTACAATCTAGCTTTGGTAATGAATGGCGACCTTTCCTCAGAAGACTTAGAGTATGTCAGAGGATTAATGGAACAAAAGTTTCTTCTTGTCCAAA